TAATGTATGTATGGTCGGAGGATAAGATGGCGCCGCCATTGCGTGCAATAGGTCGGCAGCATTAACATGAAATTTCCCCTTGTGGGATCTTATCTTAAATCAATCAAATCATAAACAGCTGTCCTGCTTGGTAGAGCAAACCAACAGCTAAAGAAATATTGAGGTTATTTATTTTTGTTGTTCACATCATGGTTAGGCAGAACAATTTAGAGTAGGTTCTTCTAAGAAGCCTGACAGCTACATATTAAAAGGCTGAAGCGAGTAACTTCCCTGGGCACAGAAAACAAACTCAGTTAGTGGGAAATGAACTCAGATGTTTTTTTCCTCACTACAGGCAGACCACATCTACATTTTTGGACTGGCACTGCTCATTTTGTACCCGTGCTGTGACCAAACTCAAATGTCACCACATCTCACACTGAGCTAAGGAGGCAAACAAGTCATCTTCACTTTGAGTGTTTAAAAGTTGGAAAAATACTTCAGAAAAGTCAAATTTTATGGTTTTGTTTCGGTGTTGAATGCGTGAATGTTGCCACATCTGAGCCGTCAACAATCATCTCCCTCTGACAGTTATTCCCATATCATCTAAATGCAATATAACACCCTGGCCGAGCAGAGTGATTGCTGCTTTATTTAGAAACACTCCACTTTTTCCTGCATTTTGCCTGGTGAGTTAATTTCATGAGGAAGTGCTTGTCTGCTCCAACTAAAAAAAAAAATAAAAATCCCTACTGACATGGAGGTAAGTGTTGTGGTCAATGCGATTTAAAGCCTTCAGGGAGACTGATTTTAAAAGCTTTATATTTTATTTATAATCTCTAATTGAGGAAGGTAGCTCTCTGTGTGCTTGTGAGATTTGTGATGTCTAATCCAAGTCCGGCCAGATGCCACCGAAAGTGATGAAGTTTATAACACTCGTGCTTGTTTGTCGAAAGCCCCTGATTATCAGCACAGTCTAATTAACTGACTGTTCAACCAGAGGCTGTTTATTAAACACATCATAGATCAATCTGGTTATAAACTTTTGCTACTGAATCGCAGAAGGAAGAGAGTTATAGTGCCGTAAAGCCTGATGCTCAGTCACTGCAGTATTGAGCCTTTAAAAAGTGTTTGCTCTAGTTAATGTATATTTGTATAGCCACAGAAAAATGCATCTGGTCAGCAACTAGTATTTTTTTGTTTTTATGGGTTTTAAAAAAAATATCTGTTACATGTTCAGAAAATTTGACTCACATCTTGTTATCTTTTAACTTAGGTTTTCTTTTCCTGCTATAAGTTCTTTCCATTAGAAAAGATCCAGGATCACTCTCAATATACCAAATACATCACCTGTTGTTTGTGTAACATTTCTAATTTGACTGCTGGCTTGTTGCTGACATTAAGAATGCACATCAGATGGCAGGCTAGACTCACATGAATAAATATTTGGGCATTCGTGTGTAGAATATATATTTTTTAAAAAGGATCAAAGTCTTATTTAAACTGTCAGTACAATCGATTGCAGTTGCTGTCATTAATGGATCAGGAAGACATTTAGTCCTCAGATTATACCCATGTTTGCTTGGATTGTAAGCAGTTAATGTTGTGATCAGCTGAATGTTAAACCCTTGCTGATATGACTGCTGGCATTAACCTTCAGGCTTATACATTCACACACACATGCATAAACACACGACTGATGGATTTTTTCAATTAGTTCTTGACTAACAGCCCCACAGTGAATCTTGTGTTTATAAAGATTGTAATGTTTCATTTTCTATCTAATATGGAGAGGTGTCCATTTAACTTAATGAGCTTTTCAGTAGCTGCAGTTTGTATTGCTTTATGTTTATTTATAACAATACCTTTTTAGCTAGCCTTTCTATTACAAAGCACTGATTTTCCACACATTCTCAATCTATCTTAATGCATACTCCTATTTGCACAGTATACTCTTCATTTTGGAGTGCCTGCACTGTGAAATTCACTCAAACCAACAACTACATTTCTGTTCTATTACATTCTGATGGGGTGCTATGTGTGCTTCTCTTTTTCAATCATAATATACAATGCCTCTGGCGCTACTTTAGATATAATTGAGAAAGAAGATGAAGCATGCACTTCCCAGCAACCCAGAGTGATGTAAGGACAGCAGAGGACTGTTGCCGCAGCCATTGCATCCCCATTATCTGCGATGGTGATGACAGGTTTACGGTAGAAACCTACAGTCTGTTTTGGATAGTGTTTTCGAAAAGAAAAGCCCCTTCCTCGCTTATTATTATATACAAACGTGCCATTATTCACTGTATTTAAACGTTTTCCTTCATTCTTCAGTTTCTTGCTTTAATACCAACTCCACTTCACTTGATTAGTCATTATTTTATTGAAAACTGATGCTGCAAAACTGAAAAACTGTTTGACATTCTTTCTGTTTTTTATGCTTTTTGACTTTATTTTGTGCTGATCTCACAGAGATTCAAAGTTCTTTCTGAATCTGGTTGTTGTTTTTTTAAGCTGAATGACTCCAGAACTGAAATAATCATAATTACACCTTCCTCCAACAGAAATAGTATTGAACTCTCTTCTAGTCTGAGCTTTGTGTTTGCAAAGAGGCTCAAAACCTAAAAGACTCTGAGCTCTTGTTTAATATACAGACGTCTAATATCATGCAATTCTGTTTAATTCTTCTTAGACACATGTAAAAAATTCAGCCATTCCTGTCACAGTCCGATTTAGAATAGGTCATCCATCCTCTTATTTGTTTCAGACTTGATTACCATAGTGGACTTTATTCAGGCTTCAGCATACACAGAATGCATGTCATTCAAAATGTCGCTACCAGAGTTTTAACACAAAGAAAAAAGAGTGACCATCAATGGCCTTCAATGACCACAAAAATTTCAGCACTTGTTGCGAAATTTCATCTTGAAAATTGAGACAATGTCATAAATTGCAGGGACAAGGTAAAAAAACTTGGGCGTGTGGTTTGACGTGGTGCTCTCCTTCAAGTCTCATGTAAAAGAGATAACAAAGACCACCTTTTATGATTTGAGGAACATAGCCAAAATCAGACAGGTTTTGTCAAGTGACACTGCAGAGGTTCTTGTCCATGAATGCTCTTCTTTCTGGGCTACCAAAGAAAATTTTAGAGGTCTACAGATGGTGCAAAATGCAGCTGCTCGCATTATAACAAGAACTGGGAAATACATTAGCCCTGTACTGAGATCTCTTCATTGGCTACCTTGTCAGGTTTGAGCAGATTTTAAGGTCCTGCTGCTCACCTACAAGGCTTTAAATGGATTGGCACCTTCATACCTCTCCGACCTTTTACACCTTTGCGTTCCATCCTGTGCTCTACGATCTCAGCACTCTGGCCTTCTAAAGGTTCCTAGAGACAGAAAAAAGACAATTGGAGAGCGTGCTTTTTCTTTTCGTGCCCCGTTTCTGTGGAACAGCCTCCCTCAAGATATTAGGCAGGCATGCTCTGTAGAGGTTTTTTAAACTAAGTTGAAGACACATTTGTTCACCCTATCTTACATGTCTTAACTCTATGCCTTCTAGTTTTTAAATTCTTACTGTTTTTAATGTGTATTGTGTTTTTACTTGTATCACTTTTATTTATTTATCTTTTTAGTTTCAAATAGCTGTACAGTACTTTGTAATAAATAAAGTTATTATTATTATGATTAACTGTTAGTTTTAGAATTGATTTTAAGATTTTATTGCTGGTTTCTAAAGCCCTACACACTCTGGTGCCTGCCTAGATCAATAAGATGCTGACTCCATATGACATTATTGCTGCTTGAGGTCTTTTGGCATGGCTTTGTTTCTGGGGTTTTTAGTCACTAAAGCTGAGCCTTTGTAGTCAAGACTACTGAATTCCATAGCTGAGGACTTTAGGCGTAGAAATTCTTTAACCTCTTTTAAAATATTTTTTTAAAACACATTTTTGTCATGCTGCACCGTTTGCACTCATGACATGGGATTAACTCTAGGATCTTCAGAGAGCAGATTTCAAGTTACTTAAAGTTACGGAAAGTCATAGCAAAAGGAGCAAAGCAGCCCAACATTCAAAATCAGAATATTTTATTAATCCCGGAGGACATTATGTTGTCACAGTCGCTCCATGACACTAAGAACAGTACCTAACTAAGTTAAATAAAATAATACAAAATATAGCAAAAAAGCTCTAATTACAAATCTCCCAGTATATTACACTACTATACTATTATATGCTATTATACTAAAATTAAATGTATACAGTTGACACTGAGGTGCCCCTCTTATCATTTTGACTTTTTATTATTGCTGTAGAGGATGCGATATTAATGGTGTGCAACGATTGCAGTGTGTACTTGGGCTTTAGATAGAGGAACTGTACAGAGAGATGACCTCAGGCAGGAATGATTTCCTGTGTCATTCAGTGGTGCATTTGACTAATCTCAGTCTCTCACTGACTGTGCTCCTGTGACTGGCCAGTACGTCATGGAGTGGGTTGGAGGTATTGTCCAGCATTGTCCATTTCAAGGACAACATCCGCTTCTCTGACGCCAGCTCCACCCCCACAGTGTTACTGGCCAGTAACTGATCGGTTTATTGAGTCTGTTGGCATCTGCCATCCTCAACCTGCTGCCCCAGCATGAAACAGCATAAAGTACGGCACTCGCCACAACACGACTCATAGAAAATCCTGACCATTGTCATCCAAACAGTTCAACTATGAAAATCTGAAGATCATCTAGGTGTGTTCTGACAAAATTCAAATTCCTCCTGCTCCTGACAAATGTATACCAAATCCATGTTTCTAAAAATGGTGATGATTTGATTGAGCAGGGGTGGGAGTGATCAGACCTGTGTGCCCACTTTAGCTGCCAAGGGGTGTAAATTCAGTTTACACAGGTCCAGTTGGTATTGTGTAACTTTATTGCTATTTCACAATACTGTAACTTATCAAATATGTAGAATGATGGACAAATGGATCGTCTGACTCATTTTCTTGTCTCCTCTCTTCGCACCTGCAGGGAGATAGAGGAAGAGCTGGAGGTGGTGTGGGAGGCAGCAACAAGGGAGAACCAACAGATGAGGGAGACTCTTTTGGATTCCAAACTCACTGGGGACCTCCACAGTTGGCCTGCTCATGCTCCAGATGAGATCACTACATCCTCCCAGCAGCAGCAGCACAAGCATGGGCTGGATTTCTATTGCTGAAATACCTAGAGCAATAACCTGCAGGTGTGCCTGTCTGCTCAAAATAGACTGTTCAGATAACTGTCAACTTGTTATAGTCATCATGTCAGCCTGCAGACATCCAGCAGCTTGCCTTTGTGTCAGTTTGTTGTGCTATCTGAGTGATACCTGAAATCTGTCTGGTGGATGGAAATATTTGCAATACATGGACAGAAACAGTATTCACTTAACACAGTCAAGCTGGTGAGGAAGACTTGGCTTGGGCACTAGTGATGGAAAGAAAAGCATCTTGGATAACTTTTATTTCTAGAAGTGAATGACTTTTGTATATTTTTGCATATATTTGTATTTTTTAAATTATTATTCTCAGGGTTTTATAAAACATGCAAAGTATAGTGCCATACAGGATAGTGAAGAGTTGCAAGTGGCACTCTGTGGTTATTACTTTTTTTGTTGCTAAGCGAAGGTTGCCATCTGCTGGACAAATGTAGTAACAGCATTTTTTACTGTCATGTATTTGCGGGTCTACATTTTATACAATGAATGAGAAATGCTTTCCTGACACTGTTTGAATCCCACAAAATTAAAACGACAAAAGGGCACAATTTTATTTTCATGTATAATTGTGCATATATACGCGGTTATTTACAGACTTTTTACAGACCTTGTTTTGGACTTGCAGTTGTATTTTCATTACACAAACAGCAATGTACTGACCCTTCAGATACCATGTTAATAATAAAGAAGTTATTTCTTTTCTTTATGGCTGGACTTGAGTCATGGTAAGTCGCACTTGTCGTCTCACATCTATGTTTCATTTGATGGCATCCATCCGTGAGCAGTCCTCAGGGATTATTCTATCCTGATCAGTCAATCCAAACTTAGAATAATCCTTTTTCCTTACTAGTTACTATGTTTTAAAAATCTGACTATTCTCCTGCCTAATATCAACAAAACTGGCAAATATAACAAGCTGATGATACATCCCTCCCAAAGTCACTTGTCTGTTGCAAAAGACTACATAGCTTTAAAGACCACGTAGCTCATAGATAAGGTAGCCTTATTACCAAACCTCCTCTGCAGATCGATCGATTAGTATAAAAGCGCCGCCTACAGACCAATCACCTCTCACGGAAGATGGCGTCGGCACGTGTGGAGCATCCTGCGGACTTGGTTGTGTGGGGGGTAAGAGGTCTTGAGAGACCGTGTTATCCCTTTGATTTTTGCACGAGCATGACCCTAAAAGCGCACTGAAGTCTTGTAGACAACCTGTTGTTTACAACAGAAAGGCCGCAGTTTGAAGAATTTCTTTGTTGGAATATTGAAACTAAACATCCATTGCATAAGGAAAAATTGCAAGAATAAATATAAATAATGGAGTTGTTCCTGTAATTACACTTACTAGTGCTTTATTGCCAGGACAGCGGCTTCGAGAAGCTCCTTAATGGTATTTAAAATCGCTGGGAATGTGCATGATCGGGGTGTACTCTGATTTATTTCTTATGTGACTATGTCGAAATAGTTTTTTTTTTTTTTTTTGCAGCGACTAGTGCTTTTAATCTGCGGGCCTGCAATTCTAATTTTCTGAAAGTTCTCTGATCCTGTCCCTGTTCGTGATTGGTTATATCCTGGCAGCAGCGACCCCCCCCCCCCTTTGTGTGAACGTGCTCGTGGCTAAATTGGGAAAACCTGCGTTGATTTGCTGAGTCGTGAACCAGCTTCCTGAAAGTTGGTGGTTTTAGTGAAGCCGCGTAATGACAAGACGTTTTGGGAGCGCTGGACTTTGTTTTTAGAACAGGCTCGGTGTTTTGGCACAACACCGAGCTGAGCGATGTAGATGGGGCCATACTCACACAAACCAAAAACTAAACACCAGCAATGTTCCCTCTGAGCTGCGCAATTGCGCACTGCTGGCACGGTCTCTGCGCACAGAAAATCTGCGTTGCGCGCAAAAAAAATCTAACCTGAATTGAAATTAAAATTAATACTTTAACAATTCTGTTGTGCAGTGTTACTCAGTAAGTGGCTGCTCCCGTATGGGATACGTGTCATTGACCTGAGCAGCACAGTTCTCTGGGTTTTGCTTACGTCGCCGGGGAAGGGCTGCTTGCATTTAAATAAATAAAGAAATGAATAAATAAATAAATAAAGGGACAAAAATTAAATCAAAGAAAAGGAGAGCATGGCGTAATAACACGATGAAGAGCTGTTTGATTTGCATGTAGTATAAATAAAAATAGGTATTCACTTTTTTCTCTGCTTGGAAAATGTTTAAATAATTTCACTTGTGTCAGTTTGATTAATTTTGATTGTTTAGGACATGACGAGGTAGTTAGTTTTATGTTTTCTGATCATGTTTCCATATCTACTAAAATTGTAATTAGGAAGTACAATTAATTGTTAGTTAGTTTAGATGTCTTTTTTTTTTCATTTTGTTTCCAGATTTGTTACTTGGACTGAGCTTATACACCTTTCCATCTGTCTTTGTTTTTCTGCCTCTTTAGGGAGAAGAATTGGGACCTGTGTCTCTTGCCTCAGAAGATACAGATAATGACAACAGGGAAATACCCCGTCCTTGCCCATTTGGAAAATACCGATGGAGCTTGGAGACCCTTATACCCTTCCGCTGTTCCTCACTAGAGTCAGTTTCATTGATGAAAGAGAAATTGCTAAATGTAACCTGTCTGCCAAATAAGTTACTTTCTTTGATATAGAATGTCTTCCTTGTACAGTACTGATTTGCTTTTGCTTTTTTTTGTCTTGTCCAGGTCCCACGCTGTAGATAATGCAGGTTTAATATCATCTTCAGTCTTTCTGTGGATGATCCCCAAAATGTGGGCCATGTTCAAGAATGGGCTGGATACATCCGACCTACACCTGTCTCCTTTTGATGTAGCAGACATTAGCGCAAAAAGGTCTCTCTTTGCAGATTCACATTTTTCGGTTGTTGTTTAAGGCATTCGCAGAATCTAACATTTCAATGGATGATGCATTTTGTTTACAAAGGGGGTAAACAAGCATGTGGGAAAGAAACCACAACGCGGAACAAAGAAAGGGCTTTATTAGAAATATTAAGAGGAATAGACAGAAACCCAAAGTAGGTCTGCTTGGGACATGACGCACCATTAATGTAGCTGCTGAAATTTGCACCTTGAAGATAAGTCAAAGGAATGAGGCTGACTTGTCAAAATTAAATGCTAGACAATTTTTAGTGTACATGATTTGATTGTGAGTGTTTTGCAGGCTCCAGAGGCTATGGAATGAAGAAGTGGCAAGGAGAGGCTTGGAGAATGCCTCACTGATTCGGGTAACTCTTCGTTTTCAAAGAACTAGACTGATTCTGTCCGCCCTCGTTTCCATTCTTGCCATGGTGGCGGCCTTTTTGGGGCCGGTGAGTTGTCGTCAGCTGTATTTTCAGACTTTGTGACGTTCTGATGTTTGCCTAAATGTTTTATTTATAAATCAAATTTAACTTCAAGAAATAGTGGTTCATACTCTGTAAACAGTTTCTAATTGCATTTTTAGAATTTCTACTCTCTGAAGTGTATCAAGCATTTTGTCTGTCCCTTCAGGCGGTCGTCGTTTATAAGATCTTAGACTACGTTTGCGACCCAGGAGAAACCAGTGGTGTTGGTTTGGCCTTTGCTTTGTTCACCACAGAGTTTCTCAAAACTTCCATGATATCCTTGCAGTGGGCATTAACACTGCGTACGGCCATCAGACTGAAAGGTGCCTTATGCTCTTTGGGCTTCCAGAAAGTCACATCTCTGCGAGTACTTGGCGACGTGTCAAACGGAGAGGTAAAGACTGGTTTACACACACAGAGAATTCACTTTACCTGCACTGCTGTGAAAAGTGGCCTAGTCAAAGTCTAGACTTGAATCTAACTGAGATGCGTTGGCATCAATAAGTCTTTCATGCTTGAAAATCCTCCAATGTGGCTGAATTACAACAATTCTGTTGAGAAGAGTGGGTAATTTGGTAATTTTTGTCTAATATTAAGATTTGTTTGATCCAAAAGAAATGCGTGAGACAATAAGATACTTTTTCAGTAAATCTTCTCACATTTGGTGTATTATGAAAAACGGGTGAAATATAAGCTTTCATTTTCTCATTTTTCTTTCATCTAGATTCTTAATATTTTGACAAATGTTGGACACAATGTTTTTGAGGCAGTTGTGAATGGGAGCTTTGTGATGTCCACCCCTGTACTCTTTGTTACGGGCATTTGTTATGCCTGGAACATTCTGGGCTACACCGCAATTATTGGAGTCCTCATCTACGTCATCTGTATTCCTATTGAAGTATGTACATGAAGTTAATAAAGTGAGATAGATAAATACAAAAAGGGCTCTGATTGAGGTAAGCATTACAGTCAATGTTGTAATGTAAAAAAGTTGTAATGTAGATAAACTATGAAAGAATTTGCCCAAACGTAATATTGGGCATGTAGTTTAATATGCTGAAACCTGTGCTGTGAGGTCTAAGTCATCATTGAGGAATACCCTTACCTTCTACTTTTGAAATCTTGGCAATCAGGGGACTAATCCTTTTTTTTTTCTTCTTCTTTTCTAGTATCTCTTGGCATATCTCACAAATGTATTCAAGACAAAAGCAATGGTAATAAAAGACAAACGTGTTCATACAATGACTGAGATTCTCAACAGCATTAAGCTAATCAAGATGTACGCCTGGGAAGAATCTTTTGAGATGAAAATTGCAGGCAAGTCGAGCAGCTGTTTCCCATTTGGCAGCACTTTCCATTTATCTAGTAATATCGCATATCACACGCATTATTTATAGACTCCCATTTGTTTAGATACAAAATCAGGCATGTAATCTTGTTACTAGATGCAAAAGAGGTGATGTGAAATGGATGTGTGTTAGGGTGCGTCTACAAAGAATGATGAAAGTAACAGACAAGGCAAACAAACTTTCTTTCTTACAGAGTTGAGGAAACTTGAAAAGAAACTAGTACAGAAGATCCTTGAAATCCAGATTATTAATGGCAGCTTGACCATGGCCATCAGCACCATTGCCACTGTTTTCACCTTTCTCATCCACACTTTGTTGGGGTTACCACTGAAAACATCTGATGTAAGTAGCACAGCTCTGTAACAATATTATGCAGTAACACAGCCTCTGTTAGCATTTCCACTCGGTGATTTGGAGAAGTTGTTAGTAGAGATGAACTGAGAAGAAAACTGCGAGAATTTTGTAAGAAGGCTTGGTCTACTGACAGAAAAGGTCTAACATATAAATTGAGGGTTGTTGTGTTGTGAGATTATAGTGCAATATTTTCTTCCCAGGCTTTTACTGTTGTTGCCATCTTCACCTCCATGAGGTTCACCTTTGCTCTCATGCCGATTGCTGTGAAGGCCCTCACTGATGCTTTTGTGTCACTAAAACAACTTAGGGTAAGTTCTTCTTTTTGGTTCCCCAAGGTCCAGCAGTAGTAGTAGTAGCAGCAGCAGCAACGTTTCCACTTGTTATGGTCTTTCTGTTCATTATTAAGTTTTCTTTAATACACTTTTATCAATGTCTAAGGAGCTTGGAAAGAAAAGTGTCTGTGACTTCTTTAAGTTGCTTGAAACACTTTCACCTCTCATCGAGAAGCTTCTTCAGTTCTAGGGTCAAAAGTGGAGAGTCCCAGATTTAAGACTGTGGGAGTGTCCCCCCCCCAAGAGGGACAAGAACTCCCAATGGATCAATGGTCATGAGAATTTGCATAATTAAGATTAAGGAACTGACCTCCCAGCCCATTGTTCTTCAGTGGGCTGGTTTCAGTCATTATGCAAATGTACTGTTTATAACTTGGGGAAACCTGCAGTCAGCGAGACTGAAGAAGTCACTTGGATGAGTGACGAAACGTTTCTACCACTTAAAGAACTTAAAGAAGTCCAGACTCTCTTCTTTGCAAGCTCCTTTGACTACGATGACCTGGATGACTGAACCTTCACAGACATGTTTCTACCACTAAACGCTACGTCCAGATGAACAGAATCAACTTTTGGAGACCTCCTAATGATCCTCTACCTAATCACACGAACCAAGGTGTGAAAGCGGGTGTGGGTCACAATCAGCCAAGGTTTTGGGTGAGCTCATTGTGAAACCTAGCCCCACCCTATCATGTGATTTCCTGAGGTCAAATAGCCCAGGATGTGAGTGGGCACAGTGGACATAGATGGCTTCTTTCACTCCTCTTTCAAACCATCTGTCCTCTATTTCCAAAATGTGAACATTGGCATCCTTGAAAGAGTGACCTTTGTCCTTTACATCCTGGCCCAGAAGCTTCTCGGATGAGAGGTGAAACGTGTTCAAGCAACTTAAAGAAGTCCAGACACTTTTCTTTCCAAGCTCCTTAGACTACGATGACTGAGAACCTTCAGACACACTTTTATCACTATTGTAATATAAGTACAATTTAAGCATTGCTTACTTGTGAAGTATTTCTATGGAAAATAATTGGTTTTGCAAGGCAGCAACTCATTTAGACATGTAGACACAGTCAAGATGACCTGATGGAGCTCATCCAGTCAGATCAGGGGATGGTACAATACCACTAAACATCAAAATGTTGCTTACCATTGTAAAATAGAGTAGAATGCCTGCCTATAGGATAAGATAACTGCTGACCTAGCTAAGTTTGCCCTGCAGACCTACCCTGTGGCCACACTTTGACTTGTTTCCCTACCATACCTGTGCCACAGACTTTAGGTAGAGTCATAGTTATGTGTCTGGAATTTCATTATTCCTATTGCATTGATGCCAGACAAAATGTAAAGGAGTAGTCTCACACTCACCACACACTCATGTGCACCTCTCCAAATCTTGTCCTCTACAAACCAGTGAAAAAGGCCATGCTGCTAATCACAAGCTGGATTTGTATTAATCATGATGCTTTTAGGACTTGCAGTACAGTATTTTAATTCATAATCGTTTTTTAGTTTTGTTAAAGTTGTTACTGCCATGGATCTTAGAAATCTGAAAAGCAAAATTGGTAAAAACCTGAATGATGTAAATGCACTGACTGTTTCAGAAAATCTTACTCATCCAGAATCCTGAGCCTTACCTGACGCAGATAGCAGGCAGTAATTCTGCTGTAGTGATGAGAAATGCTACACTTTCATGGACCAAACGCAGCCAGTCAGAGTCACCGCCCAGAGCAGCTAATGAGGTGACGGAACACAATATGGACGTGCCTTCTCCGAATGAAAATGTTGAGACCTTACCAACCCTCAGAAACATCTCTTTTACACTACCCAAGGTGTGATCAAATAATAACTGAAGTTATTAAGACTCTGTTGGATATGAAATGATGATCTTTGTGGTATTTCCTGAAGGGAAAACTGCTTGGTGTTTGCGGGAATGTGGGTAGCGGAAAGACGTCACTGATTTGCATCATTTTGGAGCAGGTTTGTTTCTTTTGTATGTTCTATTGTTTTGTATCTGTCTGCATTTATTCACATTATGTTTTTACTATTTCTAACTTTACATTACAGTGACATTCGTTTTTTGGCCTGCTCACTTTCCTTTTAGATGTACCTTCTTCAGGGCTCCATCACAGCTGATGGGACATTTGCGTACGTTTGCCAGCAGGCCTGGATTTTTCATGGAACTGTTCGAGAAAATATTCTTATGGGGGAACCTTTCGATCAGGCCAGGTAAGTTAAATCCATCTTCTTGCATTTATGGCTGCCATCTCCTCCTTGTCAACCACCACTTTGTCTGTATAGTTAATCGTGGCCCTTTCGAACTGCATGTCCCCAATCTGCCCTGGGAGGCACAAAAAATCAAGTTGGATACCTTCCATGGAACTTCTAACGGTTTTTATTTTGACATTCTGAAATGTTGGTGGAAGGTTCATAGTCAACCAAAATGAGGTCCTCTTGGTTTTCTGACAGTATCACCTCTACTGCCAGAGATGGTAAACAGCTTGGCTAGGAACCAGTGTTTGCTGTAAACTTGATCAGTTCACTTTGTTTCAAAATCAGATTTCCATAAACTGCTGCTGAGGGGAAAACGGTTTAGGAATAAATTAATAGCAGTCCTTTAAAATATGTCAAAATAGCATAACTGAATTGATACATTTAATGCAACATTTTGCATGAAATCATTTTTCTTGTTAAATGATTTTGGTCATGCTTTACTGTCAGCAATTGGTAAATTGGACTGGAACTTCTGTAACACCTTTCTATTCAGGTGAGCACACAAAGCATTTTGTTCTTGCACACATCCAATCACATACACATTTATACAGTGTTTAACATTCTTCATTTATAACATTCTTAGACACTCACACTTGCGTCTTGATCTTTAGAGAAGTGGCACCACTGGCAGTCACCAGTATTTAGAAGTCGGCCCGTTGGAGTTGTGTCAAAGAAACTCATTGGACTATCAATAATCTGCAATAGGAAAACAAACAGTTCATCTGTAGCTAGTAAACGTTCCCAGTTTTGGATTCAATACATTTGTGATAAGTAAACCCTTATCCATATTTAAAATGACCATGTGTAATGGTGAGTAGCAGAGATTTCTATGGTTCTGAGAATTCACAGTACCTTTTTGAACAGCATGTCATGGAATTTGCAGGAGGCCTTCAAGGTGAAATAAGTGTAGATTATGGATTTCACAATGGAAAGTACAACAATGACAACCACTGTTGCAGCATAAATAACCTGGTAGAAGTGAAGGTGTGGATTTTGAGAGATTTCTCCCTGGACTGCAGTTGTGTTACTGGATGACTTGGAAATAAAAACATAAATTAAAAAAAAAAAAAAAAAAAAAAGTTAGTGAAGTCAGACAAAGTCATTGTATACATAAACGAATGATTAAATATCATTTCCTAAAACTAGAAATAAGCAGAATTTGAGGAGTCAGAAACAGTTTTTCGCTTGCTACATCTGCCAGGCTTGGTCTATAATGTGTGGCTCTCTGGATTTTAAAATCACGATACTTCTCACTCAAGTTCTTGACACTCAGACATACAAAGTTACCACAGGATTTCATCTCCTGCTTTGTGAGCATCAAATACTTTTCCTCAAGATTTCCTCAAACTGATTTCTTATGTTTCAGGGATGACGCTTACTCAAGTGACAGCTAAAACCCTTGCTGAAATTTTTATACTGTCTTCAAGCTGAAAGATGACCCTCAGGCATTCCAAGTATTTTAAGGGGCAAGTGCATGGAAACTAGAGTGAGTGTGTAGTGACCAAAACTAAGTGACAAAACCAACAGAAGATCAAAACATCAAGTTGTTTCAAGGAGAAATGCTTGGACTAGGCCAAAATAAACAGTTTCAAAAATAACTGGCAATTAAAAAGAGACTTGATTGCTGATGAATCCAACCTTGAGATATTGGCAGTAGGAGGAGCGTGTAAGTGTGTGGACCAGCAGGAGAGCTAGAAGACCAATGAGTGATGATGTAACATCAACTCAGCTTTACGTAGCAAAATGTAAATACAGAAAGAGTTTATCTTGCACAACAGCCACAAAAAAGGCATGACTTCTTACCCTCTTGTGAGTTGAAGGCTCACAGAGAACTATTTCAACGTGTGTGACAGTGATAAGGAATGCAATAATTCTCACCCCATCACCACTTGCCATCCAGAAGCTAAACCACCAATTGCTGAAGACTGTGGATCCTGCCAACAGGAACATATTCAGGAGGATAATGAAGGAAACTGTGTAGCCTGTAACAACAATGAGCAGTTTATGCATCACGAGTTTGGCTGTGTATTATTGCTCATAATAATGTATCCACAAGCATATGCAGCATTGGGAAACAGGAGTTAGGGGAAGAATTTACAGTGTACTCAGTGGTAGTTTGGGGGGGGGGGGCCCCCCAACGACAAATGAAAGCTACTGATCAATATGTTATGTTGACTTGAATTGTAATATCTGACAGATTCTCTTGTTTGCTCTAAACAACCAAAGTCTGGAGTAGTTCTTGGTCTTACAAATCCATTCTTGTGAAGCGTTGTAGTGGTTTATCTTCTTTGAGACTACAATTCTTGACTTTGCCAAGTTGCTAACAAGTGTCTTGGCAGTTGTGAGGGGATGTTTAGAACCCAGTATATATAGCCAAGCTTGTAAAATGGCTAATATCGAATCCTTTATTTTAAACTTAAAAATAAATTAAAAACTGACATGCAATAACTTTCTGTGCATTGATAAAACAATTTATAAAAAAAAAAAAACCATTTAAAATGAAAATATGCAATTTAATTTCATACATAACCCCAACATTCCATATGTGAATAACAAACCTCCAAGTGCCTGGGAGTATGTGCGGTATGTTCTCCAGGAGATGGCACCTTTTGTAGAGGACTCCTGACTCACTAGCTGATTACCAGCTGGGACAGCAGCTTAAAAACAAAACAAATGTATCATTATAGAATGAAAAAGAAAAATACATTTTTATTAGCTGACATCTAATATCTGAATTTTTTTTTTTTTTTTTAACTTCTCTCAGGGAAATAGTCAGTTAAATCAAATGTTTTTCTTCCATGTTTCACACCAGGATTCTCAGTGCCAGTGCTTGCACAATGTCTGAGGTCAATCTCTTCCAACTGGCCATCAATAAATGATGCTAGTGCCATGTCCCCAGCTTTCTTTTTCTTGGCCTGACAGAAGAAAAATAAAAATAAATAAATATCTATCAAGGACAGTCTTACAGCTCAGTCTGGATAAGCTTAAAACATTGACACTTATGGAACGCACACTTTGTTTTACAGTCAATTTTGTTTCAATAATAAGGACAGTAATAGAACCATGATACATGACACCCTTACTTTGGACTCTTCCATCTGGTAGGTACTGATGAGCTGAGTATAGCGTCCATCAGCTCTCATCAGATCCCTGTGGTTTCCAGACTCCCATACTGTTCCATTGTCCAGAACCAGGATCTCATCACAGAACTGCAAATACTAAAAGCCACAAGGAAGAACAAATTATCAAAACCAGCTCAACTCTGGTTAGAGCTCTAAACAGTTGTGTGCGTTACTGGCATGTGACAAATCCTTATTCTTTGGAAAAATTGCACCTTACAACTCATGAGCAAAATATGTAGGTTTTATACACTCAGGTCCATCCATCCATCCATCCATTCGCTTCCGCTTATCCTTTTCAGGGTCGCGGGGGGCGCTGGAGCCTATCCCAGCTGTCATAGGGCGAGAGGCGGGGTACACCCTGGACAGGTCGCCAGTCTGTCGCAAGGCTAACACACAGGGACAAACAACCATTCGCACTCACATTCATACCTAGTGACAATTTGGGTTATCCAATTAACCTATCCCCACAAGCTGCATGTCTTTGGACGGTGGGAGGAAGCCGGAGTACCCGGAGGGAACCCACGCAGACACGGGGAGAACATGCAAACTCCACACAGAAAGACCCCGGCCTGATGTTGGAATTGAACTCAGGACCTTCTTGCTGTGCGGCAACAGTGCTAACCACCGTGCCACCGTGTGTACATTTTCTAAAAAGCAATCACGTAAAAGCGTTGAAAAGAAAAAAACTTGGACACTGCTAGCATAATGGAACAGGTTTTTGACGGGGCACCACAAACGCAAAGCAGGAGATGAAGCATCGCTGAATATGTTTCCAAACCAACTTCATTCTAAGCCAAAGACTAGAAAATATGGTGAAGCATATCTGCCCTTTGGTTTCACCTGCACAAGTGCCGAGGTAGGTCTCCCCTGCAGAATTGGTTTTCCCTGCGTCGGGAGCACGCGCTGGGCTCTCCAAATCACGGACAAACAGTATCCCACATTCTTGATTTTTAGTTCACAAACACTTGTAATGACTAACTACTCCTGACATTTTGGAGATGTTAGCTCTTTATACAGTAAAGTTACAGCGGGATACAAATAATATCAGGTCGTTCCTGCCACGATTTGTTCTCTCTGTTCAAATCACAGACAAGCAGTATCCCACAGTTGTTTATGTTTTTGAACCCATTTTGCACAAAGAGGCATCTTTTGAAAAATGTATTGATAGCAATGTTGAATATTATTACACAGGAAGAAACAACTAAAATAAATAATCACAAGAACAAACAAGGAAACAGAAAACAAAATAAAAAATAAAATAAAAAACAACACACAGATAAGACGACAACTACTGACAACTTTAATAAAAAAAAAAAAAAAAGAGAAACAAAAATAAAACAATAACAAGAAACATGAGAAACAGAAAAAAATAAGAAAGAAAAAAATAATAAAAGAAAAAAAATATGTAAGCGTAGTAACCTGCAGATAGTCAGATTAAAGTCTATCTGCCATTCTGCAGTTCATCTCATGTAAACAATAACGTGGCCACAGCGTGACGTGAAAAAAGGCTCATACCTTTGATGTTGTGTGACGAACTCTGTATTCCTCGTCCACACGTAAACGCAAAAAAGGAGTTTAAAAAAATCTCAGTTTTCGATTCGAAACCCCGTTTACGTGTGGACAAAAAGGCCCAAACGTCCAGAAACAGCTGTGTTTTCAAAAATACCCATGTAGGTGTGGACGTAGCGTACAAGAGTTCGTAGTTTATTTCACCGCAATGAGTTTGGAAACAAAATATGGGTGTGTGTGGTTGAAGGATGTTTTTGTGCGGGGGGGAGCAACAGTTTTCTTGTAAAACAAAGGGGGGCCAGTAAAAAAAAGTTTGGGAACCACCGCTTTAAACGATAGCCCGTTTTCCCATTAGTACCTACTCTGATTGACTTGCAGTTTTCAGTTAGGCTACAGTACTTGCTTGCCTGGGGTTAATCCGAGCAGGTACTAAAATGTGACGTTGTAACACTGCATGGGACCGATTGGCTGGCAGCAGCAGGTATATTTCTTGCCTTGACATCCATCTTTTTTGTAGCATTCGTGTTGTATATTAATTACGTCACCGGACACTTAGACGCTTTGGTATGACGACAGCCAAGCATGTAGTACCAGATTACAATGGAAAACCAGTCGATCCGAGGTGAGTCAATCAGAGTAGGTACTAAAGGAAAAGGTGCTTTTGAGCCCAGACAGCCCAGTCTCCACTACATAATAATTGAATACGTTTTCCTACCTGGAGCTCATGTGTAACCAGTATGATGGATTTTCCTCTCAGCTCTTTCTTTATACATTCTTCAAAAATGTGTTTCCCCACATAAGCATCAACAGCAGATAGTGGGTCATCAAGGAGGAAAATGTCCCTGTTGGAATAGACCGCTCTTGCCAGGCTGATTCTCTGCTTCTGTCCCCCTGATAGATTTAGACCCCGCTCTCCAATATGCCCACAAAAAGGATATTTATAATATTGTGAACTTTTGATTAATACCAAATTACAATTTAATCCTTCCACTTTATTGTAGCATCAATTTGCAAGCTTGAGTTACATCTTAAGTGAGTGGGGTAAATAAATACACTTAAAAACCCTTGTGTCGGTGTGTGACACTCCCCTGTTGGTCTGGAAAGCACTCACTTCAGCTTGGTCACCATATTGCAGGATGCTTAGGTCAGCTCTGAGGCTACAGACATCCACAACGCTGTCATATCTGTTGGGGAGCAGTACAAGGCAACAAACTGGTTAATACTATAGCGAAGTATATTTTAATAGGATGGGAGCTAGTCATTTATTCAGCCAATTATAACTTGTGGGTGACTGCGGCTCAGTTAGCAGAACAAGAGGTCACTGAATTTAACCAGAGTTCCTCGACATACTGAACCCCCAGTTGCCCTTGATGCATCCATCAAAGG